TTTTTTTTGTTTTGAGGGCTGAGGGTGGAACCCATGGTCTTATACTAGGTGAATGCTCTACACTGAGTTATACCACCAGTCTGTTTTGTTTTTAAAGTTCTGATTCATTTTGAGCAATTTATATCCCAAATACTAAGGGATTTTGTTGTTGTTTGAAACAAAATGAGTAGGTAGTAGTTTGCTGCAGTGTTTAAAAATACAACTTGATTATTTGATATATATTGCCTTTCAGAGTATTATGGAAAAAAAGTAACCAGGAGTCCTAGAAGAATTTATCACACTGATTTTCCTAGATGTCAAATTCATAAAAATCAAACAGAATAGGTCTTATGGATTCTTTTTTAGAAAGGACAAAGAAGGCCCTAATCCCTCATAAACCTCAATTGTGCACTTTTATGAGCACAAACTCGTAATTATTTTTAGGATGGAAAATACTTTGAGGCTTGCTTACTGCTGATGACATGAAATCATATATTGTTAATTGTCAGAAAAAGAATACAGTGTATTTTCTTCCTCAACCTGCAGTTAATATACTTAGAAAATTGCTTAAGTGGACTGGAATTTCTCCAGGTTTATTACATGCTGTGTTCTTTGATCTTTGCATTTGGAATGGTTTTTATCTGTGTAACTTACGTAGGTGTGTAACTGAGGCTGCAGATTACTTTTGATTTAAAATGAAAAAAAAAATCTTGTTTGATTGAGTAGTAATCCTGTATCTCTTTCCATTAATATGAATTTTAAAAAGTACTGTCTGTATCTGTGGTTTAATTGTAATAAAATATTTCTTCTAAAGAGAAAGATGGAAAATCTTTAAAGATGGAAATTTATGTAGGCTTGAAAAGGAAAACAGCATGCAGAAAAGTAAAAATTGCTTTATCTCTGGGTTCTTCTGAGCTGATTGCTTGCTGTGTAACTCCTTTGCCTCAACAGTGGTTGGACTGAAGAAGAATCCTAAAGATCACAGAATCTTGTTGTAGGAATGAAAGGGACTTTTAAAGATCAGGGAGGAAAACAAGGGCCTAGAGGTGGTCCCAGCTCTTCTGCATGGTCGCAGCCTCTCTCTTACTAGATCCCAGCTGCCTGAGCCTTGGGCTGTGGGGCGTAGTACAAGTTTAAGCGCGCGCATGCACACACACACACACACACAGTGCTGGGAAAGAACTTCCTTCTAAGAAAAGCTGCTTTCTCATGTCCTTGTCTTTGGATTCTGAAAGGCATCACAGCAGGCCTTGGGCTGTTGTTGAGTAGAAGGAACAAGTGCAGTTGGGACTGCAGGACCAGCCACCAGTCTGTCCTTGTGGTATCTCAGTCAGCCGTGAGCATCCAGATGCCTGAAGATGAAGTAGCGAGTTAGCGAGTCAGTACCCACCTTAGCAAGTGTCTTTTTCAGATTGTCCTAAATGTATTGCAAACTGTTTTTAGAGGTGGATCTCTTATATTTCTGAATGGAAAGGTGAGGTAATGTGGCACGTCTCCCTAGAATAACGCTGAAGAGTTTGCCGCAGGTTCACAGTGTCTTAGCCTCGGGCTTGTCACCACTTGGTTAAAGTGGGAACAGTAGGTGCAGAGGGGAATCAGGAGCTAGGTGGGACCCGGGCAATTCTGAGCTTCAGTCCTGAGTGCTGCTGCCTAGGAAGGGAGAAAAGCCGCCACCAGGGCCACGGGATGGGTGTTTCCTGGTTAGACACAATCTCTTGCAGCCTCTGGGGGCACAGGAAGGGAAGGACCAGCCCAGATTCACTGGAGGGTGTCACAGCATTTGAGTTAGACCAGGAAGGAGGAAAGGAACGGGCCCCTAGATGCTGGTGTAGAGTGCACCTGGTCAGAGGAGCGGTAGGCCTGGGGCAGGATGTATTGGGAGAATGGCAGCTTCGGTTTGGTAAGTTAATTACTTCACTCTTCCAAATATCAGCTCCCTCTTTCCAAAGTAAACTAAGAGTAACCCCTCTCTTACTACGCATGGTGGGGTAAGGCCTTTAGGAGCTAGAAAACTAATTTGCAGAAGGTTGGAGAGATGGCCATGAGTGACATCAGAAGAATGTGCTGCTAAAAGTAATAGGGGATTATTGCCTGGGGCGTCAGCATCCACCGAGGCTTCCTTGGATGTGGAGCTGTGTGGGCTTGGTCTTCAGGCAGGAAGGTCTCGAACTGTTGTGAGAGGGGCATGCAGATACTGGACATGGGATTATTGGGGACACCAGTAAACTTTCATCTCTCTCTGCCTGGAGAAAAAGAAATGAACGGAAATTGTGAAATTTTTATCTTGAAACAAATTAATATTCACAAGAGCTGCTGTAGGGAATGGGACTGGCCATAAATTAGGTATAGAAAGGGTGGCTCAGCCTGGTGAGGTTTGGGGCTTAGTTTGGGAAGCAGAGAGGCCCAAAAGTGTTTGTGTGTTGCAGGAGGTCAGCAGATGTGGGCACTGATTAGTACACTGGCTGAGCTGTGCTGAGTTTAGAGTGGGAAAGGCCAGCGTTCTCTCGTTCCCCAAAGGACCCACGCTGTCACTGCTTGAAACAAAGAGGCTGAAGTCAGCTCCTTGAGAAGTTCTGGTTTGGCGCTGCTGGGTCTGTGGAGCCCGGCTTGTGTGCATTTTGTCCAGCTTTGGCTGTGCCTGATAAAGTAGACTATTTCTTTCCAACCCAAGGTCTTGGTAAACTCACTTAACCTCTTTGTGCTTCTGTAAAATGATCTTCATGTCTTCTCACTTTATCCTTTTATCATAAACATGGATTTTTCATGAATTATTTACTTGGTTTCTTACCCTTTCAAAATCCACTGATCTGGATCTGATTGAATTTTAGCAGCTTTTGGGAATAAGTTTTGCTTTCTTGAAATTTTTTTTAAATGGTCTTCTTTCATAACATACAGCACAGAACCCCCAGAAATAATAATAG